CAGCACCGCCGCCGCGGTGCAGCGTAGGACCTGCGGGCGGGTTTTGTTTGTTTAACGTTAAATGGGCGCGTGCGGGCTGTTTGTTTAATTATATGCGACCTCATAAGAGACTGCCGTGATTACTAGAACGAGGGTGAGGGCGAAATGTGTGCGCCTCAGGGAATGTCGTCACATGGCCAGGTGATCAATGTGTGTGCAGTGAACAAGTTAAATAAACTGCGGAAAGTTTGAGACCCGCGAAAATACAGATGGTTCTGCTAAACACGACTGCATCTCTGCACTCAAGTGTAGAGGCGTGACTGGTGATAATTATCAGGCTTTTGACTCATACAACAGGTGTTTTTGTTTTTCAGAATCATACATACGTGGAGAGCCCCCCAACCCCTAGCTCCACTTTATTTTTTTCGCAAGGCTTAGACATTCGAAATTAAAATAAAACTGCAATCTGTTGTCACTCTCCATTGCCCGCTCCAATGTCTAACAATCTGTCAGATTTTGAAACTCTGCATTTTCAAGTATAAAAGACAGCACGTCATAAAATAATACTCATTCGTAATTAGGCCAAAATTTATAGAGTGACTGTATAGCTAATTTCTTTGCGAAAAAGCTAATAAGTTTGCTGAATGGCTTTCAGCACACTAAAAGGCCCGCTCTGTGCTATGTGCATAGAGAGTGAGCAGGAGGGGGAGGGGACTTTGCCCTCTGGTAGAGACAGTCTTCAGGACTGTCTAAAATTGATAGTTTAGTGGGCTAAACGATATCCCAGCAAAAAAACTTTTTAAAAAACATTTGGGCTGCTAATTTTTTTTAAATGTTTGCTTGTTTTTCAATGTATCAGATTTAAACGTTTATATTATTTCCTCGATCCTTTTTTTTTTTCGGTAGCAGGCAAAACGCCCTATGAATATTAAATCGTTAGTCAGAAACTATAGTTTCCTTCATTATTAGGTTAATGATTCTCTGTAAGACTCACCGTTCTAGAGGAGACCATCCTGCTGACTGAGCGACTGCCAGCACCGATATCAGCGAGGAAACATTTCCGTTCACTTGTCTTATATCTCTTCCGACAGGGCCGTCAGCCGCGCCACAAGGCGCTCGCAACCTTGTAGTGCAATTAATACTTTATTCGCGCCAGCGAAAGCGCGCTTCACGTCAGTTTACACAAGCTGTCCAAATATCTCGCCGATTACTCCCTAAATCCCATTTGCTTTATTTTTCCCATCTGTCCTTCACTCTTTGACAATTGACACACTGGCTGACTGAGGGACGGGTGATCCGGCGGATCCGGGGAATAACGAAGGAGGGGGTGACAGAAATGTGCCTTTACCGGGAATAAGGGGTAATGATAGCACGGGAACGGAGTGAGACTCTCAGACTGGCAACCAGCTGACGATCGGTTTCCTCTCTTCGCCCCTCTCATAGGCGAGCGATCTCCAGCCTGGACATTGTCGTAGTTGGACACGCGTTTGAGATGCACACACTGACAGGGCGGGATGCAGCCGGCGCAGGGGGCAGAGACTCGGCACGGCTAGAGAGGCACGACCGTGTGGACGTGTCGGACGTCGGTGGTAACACGGACTGGACTTGTTTCGAATGCTCTGAGGTTTTGCGGAGAGACGACCGGTGGGTAGCCGGCCAGCGGGCTACTACGGTTTGGTTTTCCTGTAACAACAGGCTTGCATGTCAAGGTCGTAGTTTGGGTTATTTCCTTCCCTGTTGAATTCATTATATTCTGGAATGAGACGGTACGTCGCCCCCCCCCACCCCCTTTTTTCTATCCGCCGGTTGTTAATAACAGGTGGCTCTCTCGTACTCAGGCTGTAGTCAGCCGGCTACCGGCCACGTGCTCAGGGCTGGGGTGGTTGGACCCCCTCCACACCGATGGGGTTGCCTCGGAGCCATATGGAGCCGTTGGGCGCCGGCGATAGGCCACTCGCCCGTGCGGATCAGTGTAACTTCGAAAGTGCGCGGCGTGAATCAGCCACCTGGTATGATTCTACAGTCAGTACGAGTGACGAGAAGTGCGCGGGAAAGAATGATATACACTACTTCTGCAATAAGTCAACTTATCTCCATGACCTTTAATTGATCTGTAACATACGTCTGGCACATCGGAAGTTGCCGAAACTTCGGAGGTTCATTTTTAATTTTTAGTATAAGTTAACTTTACAAAAAAGACAGACGATTGAAAGGTCATGGTGTGAAGTGAACTTATCCCCTCTTCTTCCGATTCACGGTAGACTTGCGTGGAGAAGAAAAAGACACCCAGACACATTGACATATAACATGGAAAACCAGTGTGGGGGAAATGGGCCAAAAAATAGAATTGCGCTGTTTCGTTTTTACCCCACCGAGGTTCCCTATGCTATTTACTGGGTATTTTGGCTGTATCATTCTCACCTACCTGTGTCTCTCTTTCCCCCGAAATGAGCGGAAAGAAAAAGAAGCATCTAATCTAATTTTCTTAACTACAATCGAGGCGGCAATAACTACATTTTGAAGTGTACACATGATTCCCGAAATTCTTGATTCCCAGTGATTCCCGTCCGCGTATATTCATTCCTTCGCTTTTTCAGTGGGAGAAAACGCTTATTTCGACTATTTTGTACCAGATATTTCTGTTGGTTTCGATTAATTTTTATCCTGATGATTCGCATCCATAGGTGTACACACGATTCCCGGAGTTGTTGCCCCCTAAACTACAATAGCGAATCGCGATTGCGCCAGAAAAATACGACGAAATGCATGTAGGGGAAAAGAAACATTTGGGGCACAACGGGCACCCTGTGTCTTCTTGAAAGTTAAAGGGAGAGGCAACGAAAAGATTTGTAGGCATTAAAGTTCGTTCCCTGAACTTGCAACGTAGTCAGATAAGATCCTGGCAACCGAGGACGACGTACTCCCGCCTACCGAGTATGCAGCCGTCCGTGCTCCGCTGACAGAGGAGCGGCCGCACTTTGCAGGCGCGTCGCAGAGCCGCCTCTTCAGCCATGCAGGCCCCGGCCCGAGCCCCGGCCCGAGGCAAGCCCCTGCCGGGCACAGGGTAGGCCTCCCGCCAAATTGCGCTGCACTTCAGAACAACACCTTGCCTACCGACCAGGCGCTGTCTGGAAACAACGGAAAAGTTTTCGAGAAACCTTGCTCCCCAAGAAGTTGCCCTGTAAAGTTGTCACAAAAATGTGCATAGTTGAGTTCCCTAGAATAATAGCCGAGACAAATTGTAAAGAAAAGCTTGCTTCATAGGACTTTCTGGGTGGGCGTTTTGCCACATCTTCCCGTTTTTAGCGATAACCACCTCGGAGATAAGCCAAGATAGGCCTTTTCATCTACAAAATAGACAACCTACAGTGCATCCCATGAGGGCGTCCTCCCCCCCTCCTCTGCCCGCACCTGGTCAATGCGTTGGTGAATGTGTCTCGTCAGCCGCTGCCGACCCGTTCCGTCTATGCCAGTGTCAGCTCTTGGCGCGTTGCAACTTGTGATCGTTCAGGGGCCTAGCCCTTCTCGTGGAATATGAATTGTGCCGTATTTGTTTTATGCTGTAACGAGTCGGATTGGATATTAGAAGTGTGCCGATTCTAAGACAACTTCTTTCTTCGATCTGTCACATACGGATTGTTTTATTTTACCAGACTCATACCTTTTTGATATTTCAACAATCACCACTGGTGTAGGCAGGCCCACGAACTGTACTGGAGCTCTACCAAAGTCTGGCCTAGGCTGCAGCTCCCAGGTTAGCAAGCCGTGGCGTGGCACCACCCGCACCCGCTCTCCGCAGAAGTCATAGGCGAAGGGGCCATGACCTAGTCGATACTAAGACAACTTCTTTCTTCGATCTGTCACATACGGATTGTTTTATTTTACCAGACTCATACCTTTGTGATATTTCAACAATCACTACTGGTGTAGGCAGGCCCACGAACTGTACTGGAGCTCTACCAAAGTCTGGCCTAGGCTGCAGCTGCAGCTCCCAGGTCAGCAAGTCGTGGCGTGGCACCACCCGCACCCGCTCTCCGCAGAAGTCATAGGCGAAGGGGCCAGGACCTAGCCGATAACCAACGAGCACTCCCCTCCCCGCTACCCCACATACTGACTGGAAGTCAAAAGTTTAAATGCAGATGTGACTAGGTGACTAGATTTGTTTGGAGAAAATGACTAGATGCGACTGAAAAAGAGCTGGGTGTGACAAATTTGCATTATTTTCACGAGGCAAAAAGTTGTGCATGGAATGCCAGGCGCCTGTTCCTGCAGGCTTATATGCGTACCTAAATGCATTGGTGGTGTGTGGATCTGACTGAAAAACTAACAAAGAAAAGGACTGGAAATGACTGCGAAAGTGACTGGCAGAGGATCTTTTTAAGTCTGGCTCATCTTATCCCGCTACGTGACGACCAAACTCTGACTACGACTTGTATGCTTTCGTTTGGAGACCGCGATGGGCCAGGGCCGGGTCCAGAGGTCCAGATCGGGTCATGACGGCGCATCCGCTGGTCGCGTAGGGCGTTGGCACCACCTGGCTCCTGGCTCATGGCTGGCTGGAGCCACGCCGCGGCAGCCGCGGCTGGCGCGCGGTCCCGCCCATGAG